AATGCAAATTAGGAATAGTTTGCAATTTGGTTTTATCATGGTATTTTTTATTATTTTTTTCATACTTTAACGACCAAAGTTGTCAGCTTTTAAAATTGGCAGAGCTTTCTTTAATGCATTTTGATTAATTTTGTTTTTTAACAAGTAAAATAAAATTGCCTGATCAAGCATTAATTTAGAATAAAAATGATAAATTCGATGTGTTTTAAAAAGGAAGCTACATCAGTCAAACATATTTTTTGCAACATTTGCATTTTTTAACAACATGAACAATATTAAAATGAACGACACCCAAGAAGATCCAGCGCCGCTGATCAACATGACGAACAATAATACGTCGTTGGGCATTGAACCAGTGTATCCAACAAGCACTACCCTAATGACATACCGTCTTTTCATTTGGAAATATGGTTTCATTATCATTTGCATCTCTATTTTTATCATCGTCATCACTTCGGCTTTTGTGTACACCATTTGTGTTTTTTCCAAGAAGGAAGGTTCTAAGCGCAGCAATCAAGGCAGCGGGTTAAGTAGTGTTTCTGCGGCTGGCTCAAACAACGCCTTTTCGGTTAAATCAAAGAAGAAGAAAAAGAAAAAGAATAAACACAAGAAAAAATTAAAACCCCTTAAAAGCTCAAATGATGGATCAAGTGACTCAAGCGTTGCTCAAGATTCAGTTATCTTCAAAACCAAAACTATTTCTCAACTTCAAAAGTTGGGAAAAAAGAAGAAAAAAGCAATGATTCCTATAGTGAGCAGCGCCGACAGTGATAGTGATGATGATGGAAACAACACGAATCAGCTGAAAGTGAAGCAAAAACTTGTGCCCAAAGTCAGCAAACTTGGTTCATCAAAAAACGCTATCAAACAATTGAAAAATGTAAAACTTGGTTACAAAACAGTTGTTCAAAATATTTAATTAACAAAATTTCTGTTTGTTTTTAGGTAGCAGAAGAAGAGTCTTCAACTGATTCAAGTGACGATAGCAACGATTCAACAATCAACACTAAACAGAAGGCAAATGGAGGAAAAAGCATTGCGGCACTGGTGCAAACGGGCTCGTGATCAATGGCAACTGAATGTCCAAGGTTTGCTAAATTGAAGGGTTTACAATAAAATCTTTCTTTCGTGCTTGTAGTGATTTACTCAGCCAAGTGGCACATTAAACATTAAAACTGCAGTTGACTTATGTTTTTATTAACCCATATCAACGCATTATTGGCTTTACAACGATTTTGCACTGTTTTTCACAAAACAAAAACAAAAGAAAACAATCAAAAAATGTAATTGATTAAAATTTATTGCACAGTTTGAAACTAGGGTATCACAAGTATGCAGCAAGAAAAATAATGTACAGATCAACAATGAAAGAATATACAAAATTTGTATGAAAATATAATATTGCAAAAACAGTTTTTTTCAACAGAAAATTCACACATTTGAAATAGGCCTATGTACAGAACGAATGAAACAATGAAATAAATAGATTTGACTGATTGATAACGAATGAGTGAAAAACTTCAAATGTGTTGTTTTAGTTCTTGTTATTGTCTGAACAGTGATCAGAGAAGACTAAAAGCGCACTTACATTCGTGTATTGTATTGGCGAATTAAATTTGACTGTGAGAGAGGTCTATCCAAGTCTTCAGGGTTGCTTTCCTCTTGCGAAAATGAATATCCATGCTTGGCGTCAATCTCTGCATCAGATGAGCCAAACCTCATTTGCTTAAAATCCGATCTAAGTAGCTCAGCATTATCTGGCTGAGGTTGAAAGTCATCTGAAGATGCACTTTCTGGGGCAATTTCAATGTCCGGTGTGTCGGAAAGTTCACTGGGTCCGGCACCAGTTGAGGTATGAATGGGTGTTGTGCCGGCGTCGTTTCTTCGATGTCCAGGCAGTATGTGATTCAGAACAAGTCGAGCACGCTCTCCAAAAGAAGGCTGCTGGTAAGACTTGGCCAGCTCAAACTCGGTGATCTGGTCAGCTAAAGTTTTGAAACAAGTTCGCTGGACTAACTTGGCCACAATGTCCACCAGCAAAGCGGAGAAAGGAATAACTGCCATGCCCAGCCAAAATAACCACGTAGAGAATATGATCGTATCAATGGAGGCCATTTCAGCGCCAAATGGAATGGTGGGCCAAAGTCGAGAGTAGATTACGACAAAGATGAACCACACAGCAATCGAGCCCCAAATGGCAGCATGCGTGATAATGGTCCAGCAGGAAGTCTCAAGAGCTGCCTTCAAGCAGACCGTCACCACGACGTAGGTGTAGAGAATGTTTCCGAAGCAGAGGTAGCCACCGTCAGCCTTGCCATTAGCCCACAGTGCATCATGGCTAAAGGAAAAGTACGTGCCCCAGAAGAGAACCAGAGAGTGCCAGATGGCGGAGGCGACCCACAGCCAGAACAGTTTGATGCTAAAGGTGTTCCACTGTTCACTGTACAGCTTGGGGTTATTTAGCATTATTTCCGCTGAACATACTCGGTCAAAAAGTCCAATGACCAGAGGGGGTGCGGCAGTGAAGAGGACATTGTAGAAGGACAGTGACCATCGTTCAAAGATTGCTTGACCGCTCCACGCGGAAATGGTGGCGAACCACAGTTCAATGACGTAGAGGGCAATGTTCTTGTAGAAAGAGTAGAGGATCAACTTGCAAACGCGCGACAGTGACCAGGAACCGTGAACTAGCAGTAACCTGGCTAGAAAGCGAAACTGGGCAATAGAGTAGTCGGAGGAGTATACTGCTTGAAGACCTGTAGCAATAAAAAGGATGTTTAAACTACAAATTCGCTAATTCCAATAAAAAACAAAAATATTATTACCTTCACGACCCGAAATACCAACGCCCACATTAGCAGCTCTAATCATGGCGACATCGTTGGCTCCATCGCCAATGGCCAATGTGATGCTTTTGGTTGATCTCTTGACAGCATTGACAATCTCTGCTTTTTGCGCCGGTGAAACACGACAGCAAATGACTGATCGACACTTCAACGCTACGTCCATGAATGATGATTGAAGTTGGGGCTTTAGTGCAAATCCAAGAGATTTATCTGCAAGAAGGGGTTGATGACTTTAGCTATCAGCAAATTACTTAAAACAATAAACATACTGTCAATGATTAGAGTAAAATCCTCTGGATGTGCTCGAATTTTAACGTCACCCTGGGCGATTGACTCGCGCACCAGATCCATGGTATCGTCGTTGATTATGTGGTAGCTGTCTAGTGCTTGCGTGTTCTTTAGCAGTCGACAGCTGTAGCCAATGTTGATAGCTGTTTCTTGCTTATCACCAGTCAGCATCCACACGTTAATTCCTGCCAGCATTAGGGTTTCAATTGTATCCGGAACTCCAACTTGCAACTTGTCCTCAATTGCAGTTACACCGAGCAAGCTCAGATTAGACTCAATTTCAGACATTAATTCGTTGATTGCCTCCTCCCGTGTTCTTCCATTCGCGTCAGTGGCAGTTCCATTTTTTGACATTAGCAGTGCTTGTTTGTATCGGCGTTCCCAGTCGCTGTACGCCTCTTCAGTCAGGTCGGCGTAGGCAACGCACAGAGTTCGCAAGCCGTCGGTAGCAAATGTAGTGAGCGCCACTTCGATAGCATCAAACTCCAACTGCGATTCAGCAGTCAGACGCTTTTGGATAATTGAGTCGGCTCCTTTTATGTATAGCTTCAACTTGCCAGCTGGAGTTCGCGCGACTACTGACATGCGCTTTCGATCAGAGTTGAATTCGAGAACATTCAAAATTTCATATCTGTAAGNCGCGTCAGTGACAGTTCCATTTTTTGACATTAGCAGTGCTTGTTTGTATCGGCGTTCCCAGTCGCTGTACGCCTCTTCAGTCAGGTCGGCGTAGGCAACGCACAGAGTTCGCAAGCCGTCGGTAGCAAATGTAGTGAGCGCCACTTCGATAGCATCAAACTCCAACTGCGATTCAGCAGTCAGACGCTTTTGGATAATTGAGTCGGCTCCTTTTATGTATAGCTTCAACTTGCCAGCTGGAGTTCGCGCGACTACTGACATGCGCTTTCGATCAGAGTTGAATTCGAGAACATTCAAAATTTCATATCTGTAAGAGCAGAAAAATTACTATACATTAAGTTAAAATCATTAAGTGCAATCATACTTTTCCGTTGAGCCCATGGNAAGCAGAAAAATTACTTTGTATTAAGTTAAAATCATTAAGTGCAAACATACTTTTCCGTTGAGCCCATGGCGTCAATCAGCACATGGCGTGGGGTGCGTTGAAGAAACTCAAATCCAATCTTTTGTGCACCCTTCACCAGTGCCGCCTCATCAGGACTAGAAGCTGTGTACACAAATCTAGAGCCATTTTCGGCATTCTTCGAAGGCTCGGGTATGACTGTGTGACAAACAGACAGCAAAACTAAAAATTCCCGCACTTTTTGCCAGTCTTCTTCCTTCTTGCGGATCATTTCAATTAATCGATAAAACTTTTTTTCATCAAATATCCGTCCGTTGATAGAACACTTCTTGAACTCCATCACATTACGAGTCAAAGTGCCCGTTTTGTCAGACAAAATGTACCGAACCTGAAAAGTATTGACAATTTATGTAAATTTTTTTTAAGTTTAAAGTATCACTCACTTGTCCTAATTCTTCGTTCAGATTAGAAGTACGGGCCATGGCTGGCGTGTCCGTCTCTTCGCAGTACATTTCCAGATCACAGTTAATAAAGTGTGCTTGTATAAACCGAACCATTTCCAGGGTGACTTGTAGTGAAATGGGTATTAAATTGTTGTACAAAATGATAAAAGTGAGCAAGGTGAGGAAAAAGTTGGCTGATGCATCAGACTGCAGTTCAGACAAATACCAGTGGTTCGGATTGACGTGCATCCACCAGGCAGATGCACCAGCAGAGATCAGGCAGATGACAATGAGAATGCCAAGCAGTGCTAAAATTTGTCTGTTTGTGCTAATCTCTACGTGTGACTGTTTGAGTGGTGCTTGTGCCATTGAGTTCATCATCAGCTTGGTCTCGTGGCCCGTGTAGATGGCCACTCCGAGTGCCCATTCAGTGTTGCGCATCTTGGCGCCTCTCAGCAGAATGTTCTCTGGGCCAATGGGGTGCTCGTCAGAGTTAATCTTTAGTTTTCCGCAGAACTCGTAAAGCATCTTATTGGGAGCGTCACATTCAATGGTGGCCGTCATCAAGGCGCTTCCACAAGTGGCCACGTAGTCGATCTCTTTTTTAGCATTTGGAAGTTGTCGAGAGCATATTGGATCGGTGACTTGCAAAGACGAGCGTGCTTTTAAATTAGTTTCACCATCCAAGTTTGAAGTTTCGATGTAACACAAACCTACGGTGAATTAGAAGGTAGTAATTAGTAAATAGCATAGTCAAAAGCAATCACTTTTCGTACCACTTGGTTCGTGCGATGAAATGAGCACTAAGTCACTTGGAAAGAACTGATCTTGCTTCATGACAACAATGTCGCCCACTGAAATGTCCTTCCACTTTGTCTTCACCACTGACCCAGTAAACCGATTCACAACTTCGGCTTCAGTCGTATTGACCTGATTGTCTGCTCTGTGTCGCTTTACATCTTCAAACATCTCCTTAATAGCCGACACGAACATGATGACAATCAGTGGCACTGCAGTGGTGAAGCGTCCTGTTGGCGAAACATTAGGTATTTGCTGCATCAGAGCAATGAAGAGGAAGAATATATTCGAGTAGCGGCGAAATTGCTCAAAGAGAAACTTGGGCAGAAAGCTCAAAATGTTGTACTTTGCTGTGGTGATACTGTTGTCGAGAAATGCACGGTGTGTGCCGGTTACGTGCACAATTCGGTTTTCCAGTGGAGCATTTGTTCCTGAACGAGGGCGGTCACCGCTGTTCCGCCCTCTGCTTCCAAAGGGACACCACGAAAAGCATGATCGGTTTCTGGCAGCATCGCTGGCCGCCGCACCACCGGCACCGCCACGGCCATTGGAGCTTCGTTTTTGAGAGCTAGCTTCAGTGCTGCTGGCACTTGGTTCATCATTGAGGCGTTCCATCTCGATAGTTGGAGGCATGGAAGGATGTTTCCCGTTCTGTGAGTACGCCGTCTTTACGGCAGATTTGCCGTCAACTTTTTCGGCTGTCCAATTTAAAGCACTGGCAGAGAGTGTCTGTAGATCGGTTGTGGTCACCTCTGGAGCTGTGGGCGACCTTGGGGTCAGTTCAGTGGTGTCGCTTTTTGCAGTGCTGTTTGACAGAACGCAAACAACGNAAGTGTCTGTAGATCGGTTGTGGTCACCTCTGGAGCTGTGGGCGACCTTGGGGTCAGTTCAGTGGTATCGCTTTTTGCAGTGCTGTTTGACAGAACGCAAACAACGTTGACTCGAGAGTTGGGTAATGGGGATTGCGAGTAGAGGGGTGACGTAGGGAT